TCTGCCTTTCCCTCTCCCTCTCCCTCTCTCCCTCTCTCTCTCTCTCCCCCCCCCCCCCGTGTGTGTGTGTGTGTGTATGTGTGTGTGTGTGTGTGCTGGGATTAAACCCACGGCTTCACCTGTGCTAGGCAAGCACTCTACTACTGAGCTACACTCCCTGACCTTATTCTCCTTTATCACTCTCATTCTCACACAAGTTTAGAGGTTTCCAGAGGCTCCTTGAGGACATGAGGTGTCACACCAGGTTGAATGTAGAAGCCAGTATGAGAATCTCACTGCTTTCTATTGCACCAAACAATACGGAGATTTGCAAAACAATATCCTCTGTCAATATGAGGTCTGCTTTGGAGAATAGTTAGGTTAGTAAACATCGTGTTACTGTTCACTTCAAATAGATTTATTGTCATTATTTTATTTCATTTTTTATAATTTTTTAAAATTCTTTTTTGGTTCTAAAATTTATTTAGGTTACTTTTATTGGTACGCACGATGTCTGTGCCTGACACAGCTTCACTCTTCTTCCTCCCCCACCCCCTCCCCTCTTCAACCCTTCTTCCCCTCCTTATTTGCAAAAGCCATTTCCATTTTTCTTCTATTTTTTTCTTTTCCCTTCCTTCCTTTCCCCTCCTCCTCCCTTACTCTCCTTAACAAATATGTTTTATAAATGTCTGCTTTTATTTTAATATGCTAAATATTGTTAGCTATTACTCATGTAAATCCAAGTTCTTTGGGGTCCTTAATTTTTATTATTTTTATTTTTGTGATACTGGAGGTTGAACCCAGGGCCTTCACATTGAGTTACATCCCCAGTTCTTTTTAAATTTTCAGACAGAGTCTAAGTCACCAAATTGCCCAGCCTGGGCTTGAATTTGTAACCCTCCTGCCTCGGGCTCCCAGGGTGCTGAGATTACTGGAGTGACCCAGCATGCCCGGCAGTGGTGTCCTTACTTTTAGGAGAGTGAAGGGCCGGGGCACAGTGGCACACCCCTCTAATCCCAGCACTCCGGGAGCCTGAGGCAAGAGGATCGTACAGTTGAGCCCAGCCGGGGCAGCTAAGTGAGTTAGCTTGACCCTGTCTCAAAATAAAAAGGGCTGGAGATGTAGCTCAGTGGGAAAGCCCTGGGTTCAACCTCCAGTAACAGACAGACAGACACACATATACACTGGGACACATAAAGTGAAAGGGGTCTGAAGACCGAAGCACTTGAGAACTGGCAAACCGGCAGGCTGGGAGGTGCATGTTTGGAGGTGGGGACAGGTGGAACTGCCGGTGGCTTGAGTTTCAACACCGAGAATGGGACCCAGAACCGGGGCGATCCCGATGGGATTTCTGCTGTACCCGAGAAGCGGGGTTATACTAAATGCTGAGATTAAAAGTGAAAAATGATGACACAGCGGATACACAGATCACACCTGATCGCGCACTTTGCACTGATTCTCCTTTCTCTGGGCCCGGGCCGGCCCTCACCGGAGAACACCAGCATTACTCATGGGTCGGTATCATGGACGCAGTGAGGTCCAGGCTGGGGGGGGGGCATTATTTATTTATTTATTTAGAGGGACTGCAGGGGATGAAGTTGGCAGAAAACACAGTTGAGACTTTGGGGACGGTGCAGTGGTAGCTCCGGCTCCGGGACTCTCAGGGCTGTCTTCCTGCCTCCTGTGTGTTTCCCACATTTACCCTGCCCTACACTAGTCCTAGGGGGTGGATTTGGCCTATTAAGTAGCACACCTGCCCCCTTGTGGCCATACGGCCCAGTGCCCTCCTCCCCCTGCTCTGGGGTTCATAGAGCGGCAGCCCCTAGTCACAGAGGCGGAGATCGGGAGGAGTCCAAGAGGGCAACCTGAGATCAAGCCGGAGTCCAGCAAAGGTCAGGGCTGAGAGCGCAAAGGAAACGCCCACTCTTGATGGAAATGTCTTTGACCGTCCTTGTCCGCCGCCCAATAACAATGCAGCTGGCCGTTAGGGTGACAGCCCCGTGCCCCGCACCGTGAGAAACGCTTCGCTCAGATCACAGCACAGCAGCAATCCTACAAAGTGGCTACTACCGTTACCTTTTTTATTTTTTTGTGACATTTTGTGTTTTTTTAAGTGGGGATTTAACCCAAGGCCTTCACACTCAACTCTGTCTGCCTCCCACCCTTTAAATTTGGAGACAGGGTCTCATTAAGTTGCTAAATTGTCCAGGCTGGCTCACACGCGTGACCCTCCTGCCTCCACTCCTCAGCGTGCTGGGATTACAGGTGTGTGCCACCACACCTGGCTTGTTGCCATTTACAGAGAAAGAAACAGAGGTCCCGGAACCTCTGTTAAGTGGCCCAAGGTCCTATAAGCAGCAGTGGCAGAGAGCTGGGAATATAAGGAAATATATAACTGCTGAGCACCAGCAGTTACATGGCACACTCTGGCTCCCTCTGGTGCTGCCTTATAATCATCTGTCTGGGGTCTGTCTTCTCCCACAGACTGCGGAGCAGCGGCAGTCCTATCGTCGCCCTGTCCCCAGCACTGAGCCAGTGGTGCCTCTGAGCAGCGCTGGGAGCCCTACGTGGACATGCTGGGCGCAGAGGGGACCTGCGGCCTCTCCCTTACAGTGAGGGTGGTGCTCAGGAGGCCTGGGTGGGTCAGATGCTCCATTGCTGTGGCCCCTGCTGTGGCCTGGGAAGACGGCAGGCCCCTTATCGTGTTGCTGGTGGGAGCACGGGTGAGTACCACCAGGTGCCCTCACTAGCAGGGACTCAGGTCCCGCTGCTTCTGTCAGCATCACAGAGCTAGAAAAACGGTGTGAAAGGGGACGAGGAGGGTGGGAGGCCTCTTAGGGGAGCCTAACCCTCAGGGCAACAGCACCCCCTAGCGGTAAAGCCCACAGTGATGTCGGAGAAAACATACCAGGGAGACTGGGAGTAGCACCCTCCCTGACCGTGGCTCCGGAAGCCCTTGCTGTCGCCTTCCCTGGAGTTACGAAGATGGGCCTGCAAGTCTTCTGCCTCTTGCGAAGTCACAGCACTCACTGCAAAAGACCTGCCTGGTTACACGAAGTGTGAAGAGGCACACCTGTTCCCACTGGCCCTACGCCGGGAAGAAGGAGCTCGCTCCTGGTGCTCTGGGAGGGACGGCCTGAATCCAGTGGCTCTCTGATGAGAAATGGAATCTGTTGTCCTCCTCACCTCGACTCTAGGAAGCCAAAGAGCTGTGTCAACTTCAGAGCACCCCCTGAGGTCAAGACAGTGTCCAGACTGTGTTTCAGCACAGCCGTCCCTCTGCTGGTCCGACTTCCTTCCTTTCCACCAAAGCTGATGGTCCTGAGACACTTTTCCAGCGAACTCCACGTACGTCCATCCTCACTGCAGAGTCCACTTCCCCCAGCCAGACTTGCAGCACTGCCCGGTGGAACTTCTACGCTGGCTGCCCAGACAGACACTGGGAGCGCCCATCCTGAGCAGGGAGCGTCCCGAGTCCCCTCACCAGACGCCAGCCCGGCACCTGCTGAGCCTCTCGGTGACTTGGCCCACCATACGGCGAGCACCAGGCACCGACAGGATGTCGGGACTGTGACACACCTCCTCGGTCCTGCTGAGAGTGCCAGTGGCGTTTAGCCTTCTCAGCCTGCGGGGGCCCAGGGGCAGGCAGACAGACCCCACACTGCATAGGCACCTCCAGGGAGCCTGCAGGAGCCAGAGGCACAGACCGAGGGGCCCTGGCCACTCCAAGGAGGTCCTGATTGCTTGAGCCCCGCGCTGAAGGAGTCGATATTCTCCACACACAAGGGCCTATTTATGTCTTCTGGCGCTCTGGCTCTACGAACCTCTGGGCTGTGAGGTGTTTTCCTTTGTGTCTCTCTCGAGGAGCAGAACTGTTCACAGCAGTGCAGGGGCGGCACAGCCTGCTAAAGCGGAGGGTGTTCCTTAAGCGTTTTCCGTGTGAGGTTCTCCACAGGGGGTCTGCAGAAGCCACTGGGCCAGCGTCCTCAGCGTCATCCAAAGTTAGCGCCGGTGCAGACCAGCGCAGTCCAGTAGAATTTCCGAAATGATGAAAATGTTTCGGGCTTCAGTGTCCCTGAGGCTACTGACCACTGACCACTGAAACCACGGCTTGTGTAACTGCAGCTACACAATCTTTTTAATTTCTATTATTTTAAATTTACTAGTTACATGTGGCTAGTAGCTACTCTACTGAACAGTGCAGATATAGGACCAAAATTTAGAAAGTGAAAACTCCAAATCATTTGGGCCTAACGTTAAGAACTGTGAGTCAGTGTCTGTCTGTCTGTCTCTCTCTAAAAAATAGCCTAGCCCTCCTAATGGCACATTTTAGCCCATGGTTTGAAATCTTGGCCCACCAAGATTCAAATGCTTCTGAAAATTAACCCTACGCACAGGTTCCCAGGCCAACTTACCTGAAACATAAACATCAGCTGGGCCTGACGGCTGTGTCTGATCAGCCCCTTGTGATCACACAGCTTGGTTGGTGGCTCTCCTTTGTGTGCTTGTGTCTTTAGCCTTCACCATGAAGTTCACGTCTTTGCAGAGGGGGCTGCATGGGCCCTCGCTGCTCTGGGCCCTTGGGAGTCCTACATAGGCTTAGGAGTCACCCGCAGTCCTCCAAGTCGCTGGCTCCGCAGCCGTCTCTATGCAGGACAGGTTTTGGTCAACAGCCATCTTGCTTTCATGTTGAGGTTCTCAGGTAAGTGCTGTGCTTGATTGGCCCGACGAATTTGAGCGGACTTCCCCAGAGCAGGGCACTCTTTGAGGTAGCACGTCCAGCTCCTCCTCCTGGGGCCCACTTTAGGGACAGGAACCTCCCATAAGTCCTCTTTAGGGGAGTACCGGTAACACCACCTGTCAGACCCCCCAACACAGCAGGACACGGTGTAAGCAAGCAGTTAATGAACGGCCTCCGGAGCCAGCTGCCCAGGATCCAAATCCCACCTCCCTCACCACCAGTGGGGTCTGGGACAGTCATCTCCTCTTAGAGATAGGGTCCTTGTAAGGACAAAGCAGGCTGGTTTTCATAAAGCATTTATTTACAGCAATATTTTCACAAAGTAAGTGCTATGTGAGTATGAGCCACTTTTATTACCATAAGCAACGATTTTTTCATTGGTTTATTTGACAAACTCCTGGCAAACACTTTTTCTCTTTGGAATCCCTCAGGAGGCGCCCCTCACAGCCTTCCGCTGCAGCCTGCTGTCTAGCGTCCACCACGTCTGCTGCACACCCCAGCCTTGTCTGCTGGCCTCGCTTGCTTCCCCTGCCCGCCTCCAGTTCTCCAGCAGGTAGACGACCCTATCTTTGGGACTCTTGTTTGTTTTCCATCTTGGTGTACTTGTGCCTTCGTTTTCAGTAATATATTTTTAAAGTTTTAGCTTTATAAATGTCTACCTTCACACTCATTCTAAAACAGACCAGATGATACCATTTTCTCCCAATTCAGACCCCTGGAATGTCCTTGTCCCTTGTTCTTTTTTCCCAGCTCCCAGACTTTCTCTTTGGAAGCAGCCCTTTGGTTATGGACCCCTGGGCTGAGTACCTGCTATTCTCAGGGGTCTGGTGGAGTTCCCCGAGGGGGGCGCAGGGCCAGGGGGTGATCTGAGAGGGTGGACGCATTGCAAAGACCGAAGCACTTCATTAATCATGCAACCGTATCATACGGGGCTGAGGCGGGGAGCCCAAGGGCCAGGCCATGTGGAGGAGCAGGTATCAGATGCACACTGAGGCAGAGGTCAAGTGTCCCTCCTGACGACTCCAGGGAGGGGCAGCCCAGGGAAGGCAGGAAGGAGTCCCAGATCTAGACTTGCTCTGTCTAAAATCCAGGCCTTCCCCAGGGGACTGGTCAGCTGCCAGGGAGTGGGAATTGGGGTGAACAGGGCACTGGACCCTGACTGCCAGTCCCGCCTCGACCTCTAACTACTTAGATGGGCTTGGTTAAGTCATGCTCTCCTGAAGTGTCAGTGTCCTTGCACAAGGGCTTGCACTAGCTCTGCAATTTTCAAGCTCTCCCTTCCTCTGAATAGTGACTAGATCATGGTGCTGTGCAGCTAAAATCAAAGGTGCTTCCCTGGTACGACAATCACAGCAATAATCACAACGTATAGCATTCTCACAATGTAAGTTCACCCGCAGTACGCAGCTCTGAGTCCGCGGTGCCTGCGACCCTTGAGATCCGAGGAGGGTACGAATGGGATCTGATTCTGAAGCAGCTCGTATCTAAATCATTTGCTACGAAGTCGTATGTGCGCTAGTCTACAACAGAATGTGGCTCTCCTGTATTTTTCCCCCTGAGGAATCCTGAGAAATGCAGGCAGGGCTAGGTGCACACTGACAGCTTTTGCAGGGTTGAGTCTGATTCCTTTTGGGATTTTCAGGGAAAAGCAGGTGTCAGTGGAGGGGCATCTTCTGGGGGTTCGGTGAGGTCATCTCAAGGTCCCTCCCTGGATGAAGCCCCTTTGTGCAGGCGCCACACATCTACAGGCAAGGAACTCGCCGCGAGAGGAGCGGCCTGAAGGCTCCCATCTCCCGGGCTGAGCGGCTGGGAGAAGAAATCGTCTGAAGTGACGCCCCTGCCCCGCCCCCGCCCCGCCTCGAGGCTCTGCTTCACATCTGGCAAGAGTGTGAGAACATGGTGGGAAGCAGCCCCACACACGCCACCCCGCGCTGGCCGGCCCTCCTACACACACCTGAGTGCTAGTGCCTGCTTCTACCTCTGCAGAGCAGTGTTACGGTTACAGCTGGGCAGCTGAGGGCCCTGCTGCTCCACGCCATCCTGCCCGGCAGTGACGTGGCTCCCATAGGTGAACCAGAGGAGGGGCCTGTGCTCCAGACTGGGCCGGCTTCTGGGGCGCCGTTGGTGAGGGGAGGACGAGGTCCCCTCGCGGGAAAGCAGGAAGGCCTGCTGTCCTCGGTGGGCGGTGGGGTGAGGAGTGAGAGGGTCAGGGCCTCTGCAGCCTGGAGGTAATTCACGTGGACTGCCACACGGACAGCTGGAGGGGCAACTCCCCCTCGACCAGCTTCCTAGGCCCAGGCCCTGGGCTTTGTGGCAGGTACAGCCCGGCCGCCATCCACAGCTCTGGGGAGGCTGCTTTGCCTGCTCTGCACTGCCCAGGCCTGCGATTCACCCTCCTGGGGCTTCCCAGCGGAATGGTTCCCAGCCAGGGGCCCCAGCAGGGTGGAGGGCGCCCGCCATACCAGTTGCTGCCCACCCGTGAGAGCGCTACCGCAACCAAGGGGTGAAGGCGGGGACGGTGACGCAAGCCCAGCGCCCTTTGGCCAGCAGGGTGGGTGCGGGAGCCCTGACCTTAGCTCTCTTGAGTGTGGTCATCCCTGGAGTGTCCCCAGCACACCAGAAGTGGAAGGCAGGGGGAGGAGGTGCCGTGGTGCCCACTTGCCTAGGATGGAAGAGCACAGCCTGGCGCAGGCTGAGACGGGAGGGGTGGGCAGGTTCGGGTCCCGGGTGGGGAGGGGCGGGCAATGCCCTCTGGGCTCTGGACATGTGGACCCAGTGTGGGGGAAACGCGGGCATCTCTGTCCCTGAGGAATGGTGCCCTTCTCCTACCTGCCTTCCCTGGGTACCAGCAGCAGCCATGCCAGGAGTGCAGGGGCATCCCTGGGCAAGGCCCTGCCTCCAGCCCCTGCCCTCTGCCCCCACTTGAGTTTCTTTGTCAAATAAACTCCTCTCCTCATGACTGACATCTCAAGAGACTGGAGGAAAGGGGAACCTGGTATCAGGCCAGGTGGACAGGGGAGACGGCAGAGGAGGAGCTGAGCTCCAGGAGGGGTGGGAGGAGCTGCTGGGCCACCACTGGCCTCAGACCTGGGCACCGTGCCCTGGAGGGGCAGCCCCCCATGCCGCCGCAGATCACGCTAGTTAGGAGATCTCGTTGCCAAACACCTCGAGCACGAGGGGCGTGAGCTTCATGCTGCTCTCGGGCTGGAAGGAGAGGCTGCGGTACTGCTTGGAGTGCTCCTCGTTGAGGCTGCGCAGGTCAGCCAGCTTCTGGATCATCTTGGCGTAGAGCTGGTGGCTGCCCGGGGGCGGGTGGCGGCAGCGGATGTAGGTCTGCAGCGTGTTGGACAGGCGGTCCTGGATGGCCTCGACCAGCTTGGCATCCTGCACTCCAGGTCGATCTGAGAATACACAGGGGCTCGGAGCCGGGTCAGCGTCACTATACCCACCCACCTGGACCGCCCGCTCAGCACCCCAGGCCAGCTTTGTAACAGCTGACCTGCGACATCACCATCCTGCCTAAAGCCCCCGGTGACCTCCCGCTGCATTTAGGGTCAAGTCCTTCCGTGGGCCCGTCCGGACCTGTCCCACCTCCCTCGCCCTCTCTGTCTCTGCACTCTGTCCTGGCACCAGGACCCCAACGTACCCACCCACTGGCCTCCAGGTGGCACTTTCGTGCCACCTCTCCTGGAACTCAGTCCCTCTCTGCCTGCCTGAGTAATCCTTCAGGTGGCAGATTAAAAGGCCTTGCTCAAGCCAGCATGCCATCCCAGCACCCCTGGATGCTGAGGCAGGAAGACTGCAAGTTCAAGCCCACCTTGGGCACCTCAGTGATTTAGCCAGATGCTGGCTCAAAAATAAAAAAATAAAAAAGGGCTGGCGATGTATCTCAGTGCAAAGGCCCTCATTTCAACACTCAGGACCAAAAAATAAAAGAAACATTCTTCAAGAAGGCGGTTCTGGACACCCTCTACCTCCGCGTCCCGGGCTTTATTCGCTGCGCCCACTGCTCTGCCTTCCCACAGGGCCGTGCGCAGCTGTGTTCTGAAAACTCTCTCCTGTTAGGATGAGCTGTTAACGGCATTTATTTAATGCTTCCTCTTAAGCTTCAAGGAGAGAAGGCTGTGTCCTGTTTGCTTCTGACTCACGGGGCCCGGCCCAGCGCCTGGCACCCAGCAGGTGCTCTGGAGGTCGCTGCGGAGTCCGTGAATGATGACAGCAGTCGATACCAGCTCAGAGTGGATCTGGGGAGCCTACACCTACTCTTTGGGCCCTCAGTCCAGGGAACACTCCTAGACATGGACGGCTAGCTCGTCCCCTGAACATGGCCCACGCCGAGGCAAGGACGCCCCTTTGGGCTTCATCACCATCGAGGTGACATCCCCTTAGGCTACATAACTTCTTCCTCAGCCTTTTCTCCCTCTTCCCACCCCTAACAAGCAGACGAGGTCAACGGTCAAAGCACATTGCCCCCAAAATCAATCCAACTGTCCAGGCAGAACCTCCATCACGCCCAGGGTTGCACCCCCTACCTCCGAGGAACTTTAAGTGACAGGAAAATTGAGCTCAGTTCATGCAACAGCAGAGCCTGAGTGTTAGGACCTAGGGAGCTCTGTGGAGGTCGTGGGACCCTGTTATCTGGTTCCACACAGCCCTATGCATCACCTGTCATCTCCGTAAGGCAAAGCCAAGGGCAGCGAGGGAAGCGAGGGACCCCTCAATATCCACACAGAGTAAGGGTGGTGCGAAAGCAGCGAAGTGGGTGTCTCCTCCCTTGCCGCTCCTTCTCCGCACAGCTCCCTCCAGACACCCCCCGGCCTCAGGAGGCCTTTGTGCCCCACATTCCTCACTTTCCAGGCCCGAGTTCCTCACTGCTGGCTCCGTACCTGGGGAGACAATGCAGATAGCCATGAGCAGGACGTGCTCCTCCTCGTGCAAGTTCAGCTTCTTCAGCCCCATCTGGAACTTGATGAGGGGCTCAATCAGCTCCAGCGTGTGTCCAGCTGTGAGACAGAACAGTCAGATGCCAACCCGAGGAGCTGTGCCCGCCTCCAACCCCTGGCCCTGCTCACCCCGTTGTTGCCCAGCCCCTCCCGCATGCCCGATTGGGACCCAAGACCCCATGGGAGGATCCAGATGCTGGGGGTGGAGTCCAGCACACCGTTGGTCACATCAGTGACGCTGTACTTGTAGTCTTGGTTGCCGCAGTCCCAGGACATGTCATCCATGGTGAAGGACTGGTTGGAGCGCAGCATAATGACCTCAATGGCACTGGACTTCAGCAGCACGATCTGGTCCTCGGAGGTGAGATCCCTGCCAGGGAGCGGGGCCGGGGAGAGGTCAGATTACTGTGAATGGAGACCTTCACGTCACACAAGTCAAGTCTGTGTTTTGACAAGTGTACCCTGAAGGTGCCCAGCCTGTGCCCTGCCCTCCGCCTGGGAGTCTGCAGCCTGGTACTGATGGACAAGAGTACTCCTCTGAGGGAGAACAACTCAAGACTGGTCACACGCCAAGGTGAGCAGTGAAGTAGCTCAGACATGAAGACAAGGAAACCCAGCAGTCAAGCAGCCAGAGCCGCTGGGTCCGGGAAGACCCGGGCGCTCCCACGTGGTGGCTTGGGTAGGGCGCTCGGCCCCAGTGACCTTCAGCCACGCTCACTTTTCCGTTCCTGTCTTCCTCTGGCCTCCGTGATTCTCAGCTGGCTCTGCCCCAGGTCCCCTCTGGAGCCTTGTCCCGCCTCCTGTAGCCACCAGGACTGCTCGGGGCCAAGGCCCCTTTATCTTCTAATAGCTCCCTCCTAGAATCTAGGCTCAGGTTGTTCACGTCTCTCATCTTTCCTACCGCTGTTACAGGTAGATGTCACTCTTGGGCCCAGAAGCCCTCACTGATTTGGACAGCCCAGGGTAAAGCCAGACTGTCTGTACGGCTCCAAGCTGTCTTTCCCATAGAAAACTTCGCCGCTGGATTTCCCGACGACCCCCTGTGTCTCACTGTGCTCTTCCGGACCATCCCCCCAGCTCTGTTCTTCATGCGCTTGGCTCTGACTCCTACTTTAAGGCACTTGCGGGCCGAACTCTCAGTCACTTTGCTGTTGCCCATACGCTGCTCCTGAGCGGTGAACACAAGAGAACCAACAAGTTCGTGCCAATGTGATGACAGGGCCGGCTACTCCACGGTTCCGAGTTACGTGCCAGGCTGTGTCAACAACAGCCCGGAAGAAGCAGGGCCCAGAGATCACTGGCTTTTCTCCCTGTCTCTTCCCGACCTGGCTCTCCCGGGTGTCCTGTACGCAGACTGTCGTCCTCTCCACGCTGCGCTTTCGGACACAACCACAGGAAGCAGACCGTAAATAACGGGGGTTCTGTGTCCTGGGTGAGAGATGGCGGGATGGGAAGGCGGCACGGCTGGGGTGGGCAGAAAGGGTGTGGGCTGAGAAGTCACACGGCGCCGGGGGCGGGAGGCCCCTCCACGGACCATCAGGCAGCCTCCTCCCTTGGCCTGACCCCACAGGGCTCCGGGCGGCCTCTGCCGGCTCTCCGGGCGGCAGGCTGTTAGGAAGCTCCGTGCTAGCGGCCCCTTGCCGATGCACCGCCCGCTGCTGTAGTTCTGCACTCTGAAGGCGCACGGAAGCGGACTCTCCGCCAGCCGGGAGACTTGCCTTTAATCGTGGCTAAAGGGCTTGACTTTTTAAACAGAACCTCTGCACCCTTTTTTCACGTTCCTCAGGGCGGACAGTCCAGTGACGTGGGTTCAAAACTTCCCACCGCCCCATCACTTTTTACTTGGTGCTCAGCCCACATTTGAAAAAGAAAAACCAAGGCCACCTCCATCTGGGTTCAGAGTCAGTAAGTAGAACATTTGTTATTAAATCTTCGGAAAACAAAGACAAATATAAAAGCAAATAAAAATTGCTTCTAGCCACGGTTTACATCTTGGTGCATTTCCTTCCTTTTTTCTATGCAAACAGAAACTGTTCCTAACATAACTGTTTATACTAATTCTGTATCACACTCCCCATCTTTCTACAGCATTAAGCTTTTTTCTGGGCACTGGGGATTGAACTCGGGGGTGCTCTCCCTCTGAGCTACCCCAGCCCTTTTTTACTTTTTTAAAATTTTGAGACAGAGTCTCACAAAACTGCCCCAGCTGGCCTCAGACTTGTGATTCTCCTGCCTCAGCCTCCCAACTCACTAGGATTTCTGGCATATGCCACATGCACGGCTCACTAATAATTCTTTTCCTTGGTTCTAAATATGTACAATGTTATATCAGCAAACTACAAGTTAATGAATCAGTCTCCCATTTACCTGTTTTAGGACATTTGGTTGCTTCTAATGTTTGCCCTTTTTTTGGAGGGAGGTTTGAGACAGGATCTCATGTAGATCTATATAGTTCTATTGAATTCCCTACGTAGCCTAGGCTGGCTTCAAACTTGCAGTGATCTTCCTGCCTCAGCCTCCTGAGTGCTGGGGTTACAGGTGTATGTCATCATGCCCAGCCTTAATTTTTCCTCTCGTAGGCAATTCTGTGGGGAATACGTTTGCACATAGCCCTTTGCCCAGTGCCTGACTCAGGACGGATGGTCGTAAGTGAACAAATATCCCCTGGGTCCATGGCGCCCGGAGAGAGCTCAGTGAGATCACTGCTTACTGTCACCCAGGAGGCAAACAGCAACCTCACATTCCTGCCACAGCCGGGACATAAGGGACTTTCTAAGCGCTGCTGGCAGCTAGGCCAGGGATGGCGCTGGGCGGACGTAGACATGGAGCCATAGGGCAAACCAGTGAGAAGGCCTGTTCTGTGGTGACGGGCCCGTCTGGGCCTCTGCCCTGAGCCACGCGCTGCCCAGGCCTTGCCGTCATCACGTCCTGGCCACAGGAGATGTGCCGGCCCAACTTCCCCACCCCGTGGGTGGAGCTGCACCCCTCCCGGCTGGGGCTCCCCGTGGCCTAGCAGGCCTCCCCTCTCTGTGGCTCCGGGTTCACGTTTATTTCTCCCATCAGACACAGAATCCCTGCCGGCTAGGGACTGGGTCCCAGTCGACTTTTATCCCTCAGAGTTTGCGTAAGAAAGCCGCTGGTCGGATGCAGAAATAAACGAAGAAATGTGGAGGACAGAGAACCAACGAAAGAAGCCCTGTGACCCTGGCTGTGGCTCTGGAAGGGTCGCTGGACATGGCAGCGGCAGCGAGCCTGGAGGCGTTCAGCCCACTGAGCAGGCCCTGCTGGTGCGGCCGGGTTCTCTGCGGGCCTCAGGTGGCAGCGAGGCCAGGGGCGCTTGGCTTCTCCATGCCGTCCTCCACATGCCCCTGACACCAGGTCCTCATGCATCTGTCTCAGCACCAGCATGCAGAGGGGCTGGCGAGGCAAGCGGGAGGGTGGGGGACAGGCGGGGAGAGGAGGCAGTGGGCCAAGGCCGATCCGCAGGGCAGTCCTCACCCAGAACAGCCCACCCAGCCGGGCACCCACACAGAAGCCTCATCCCGCCTTCCCCACGCCCGCCGCCGCTGACAGGCAGCAAGATCAAAGCCACCCAGGACACAGCCGCCGTTCTGCTTCTTGGGAAAACAGAACCCCTCAGTGTGGAAACCAGCAGGACAGGAGAGCGTCTGCGTCGGCCCCGTCTGGCCCCCGGCCGTGGCTCCTGTACCCCTCCGTCCCGGCAGTGTCCCCGTCAGTGTCCCCCAAGCACTCTTATCAAGATCTGCTTCATTTTTACCTGCTCTGGGATTTCTCAAGTCAAGCTGGAGGAGAGAAACCAACCCCGGGGTGTTTGGGATTGTTTTGACCCACTTGCACCATAGCGGGGCAGCTCCATCGCCTGTAACGTGCACCCACTGCGTCAGAGCAGGACCAGCAGACCCGGGGGGAAACGAGGCTTGAGGGCCCAGGGATACAGCTCAGCGGCACAGCGCCTGCCTGGCAAGTGTGAGGTCCTGAGTTTGACTCTAGGTACCAAAAAAAAAAGAGGCTTGAAAGTAAAGGAAGGGTGCAGACTTCTGCTCAGGCTTGGGGAGAAAAACTGCAGGTAAGGTAAGAGCCAGGGATCGGGCTGGGGATTTAGCTCAGCGGCACAGCACCTGCCTGGCAAGCACAAGGTCGTGAGTTTGATTCCCGGTACCGGAAAAAAACCAAAAAAAAAAAAGAGCCAGGGATCAAGGGCAGGGGAGAAAAATGGACGTCAGAGGTCTTTGTGAAGGGGGCAGTGTTGCCGAGATCTGGTTTAAGGAGGAATTGCTTCTCAGGACCATTTGCCCTCATGTGCAATCCTAGCCACTACTTAGAACCAGCACACTTGCATCTGCAGAGGCCCAGGCCAGTTGTCCAGCACCCGAGCAGAGCGAGAGGCCTCCGCCCAGACAGGCATTGCTCCTTGGATCAAACCGAAGCCAGGTGCTACAGCGCAGACTTCGGCACCTTGAAGTGTTTTTTCTCTAGCTGTTTACACAAAACAAGACTTTGGAAGACAAGGGCTGCAAACAGTAACGCAGAGTGTGGGGGAGGGGGTTGGACTGCGTGCTCCACAGAACGTACGACGGCTCCAAGGGAAGGCTCCGGCAGGGAAAACCAGGCCCAGCGCAACGCTGGAGCCCAGGCCCTCGCCCCCGCCTGACCACCGGGCTGGCCCTTACTCCATTCCGGCGACCAAAACACGGTTCTGCCCATTTGCTGTTTCTCTTCCCCATAATTCTCACATTCACCCCACAGAGTTTGCGACGTAAAACTACGCACAGCTGTCAGGGAAGGAACAAACTGGGAAGTGCTTTCATTCCGGCTTCCGGAGTGTGGGGTGGAGCAGCTCTTCAGGGCCCGCTCGCAGAGTGACGCTGTGAGTTACTGTCCTCGGCCTGGCAAAGTGGCTGCTTAGACAGTAATGGTGGCTTCTCTGCACGGCAGAGGGGCCCATAAAACAGTAGATGGCACCTCATATCGGTTTTTACCCAGAGCCGGCCAACATTAAGTAGTTTTCCAGCTCCCAGGACGCTAGCACTGAGCCTGAGCATTGCCACAGAATATTCTGCCATTTCTGCTGTAACTATCGCTATTGCTTGTGATGATAAGAAAATTGTCCGACACCTGTACTAATTTATTTCTTTTTTTTCTTTCTTCTTTTTTTTTTTTTTTTTTTTGGTACCAGGGATCAAACTCAGGGCCTTGTGCTTGCCAGGCAGGTGCTTGTGCCGCTGAGCTATATCCCCGGCCCTGATTTATTTCTTTTCATTCTCAACCACATTGTGTGTACAATTTATGGCAATGTCCCCAGTAAATTTTTGGAAAGAATGAGGATAAAAATATACATAAATATACATATACCCCTCTCTCAATATATCTACTAAAGGCAATTAAGACTATTGTTTTAATACTTCACATGAATTAAAGTATAAGTGTTGTACATGCTATTATTATTAAAACAATAAAACAGGAGTGAATAAAAAATGTATATGAATCTTCTATGAAGGAGGATTCCTATCCTACTAGAACTCTTACTGATCTATTTGTGCAGTACTTTTTGCAAAAGGACTTAGTATGATTGAGAAATGACCTTCTAATATAAATTTGGATGAAGGATGAGCAGGTCATATTTGCCGGTGGACCTGCCTCCCTCTACGATTCCTAGACATTTCACAAGTCTGCAAGTCCTGTGCTTTCTGCTCTCTATCAGTCCCTCCCGGGCACAGGCCCGAGTGAAGGGGCAATACGATACTGTAGGTTGGAATTAAAAGGCAAGGAGAGGGTTAGAGTCACACTCACTGGAGCGGACACTGGGGGATGGAACAGCTCTCCAGGGCAAGCTCCCAGAGTGGCACCGGAAGGCTACACGCCGTGAAACACAGATTCCCAGCGTGGGCTGGGGCCTGAGTCTCCGGGGGAAGCAACGGATTCATTTCCAAGCCCTTTTCTAGCCCACTATAGGGTCCTGACTGTTCCAAGACACTGCAGGAGCGTCTCACCTGAAGCCTGGGATCATTTTGGCAAAGCCGATGACCTTCTGGATGCTGTAACTGACCAGGTCAGCCAGGTGAGGCAGCATGGAGAGCTGGGACAGGTCCAGAGCCACGGAAGAGTCGTCGAAGTCTTCTTCTGTATTCAGGTCCAGGCAGGAGAGGCTGGAAGGCTCCATCATGTCCGGGGAGGCTGAGGGGAGAGAAGAAATCGCGTAAGAATGCGCAGACCAGGCCTCCCCCGCCCGGGCCTGTGGGGACCCAGTGCGTCCGCGCTGCACAGCCACAGCGACAGCCTTCCTCTAAGGTCACTGTACACACTCCGGCTTCCGGGTCTCGCCCAGTCGCTTATTTCAGCAGCGTGGAGCGGTCAAAATCAAAGAGCCAGAGGTGCTGGGAGAAGTCAGTCTTCCCGGAACCCGGCTGTGCTGGTCCACGTGTTGCTCCTAATGATCTTAACCAAAAATGAACTTGGGACCTCCCCTGCGGTCAAAGAACTACAGAGGAGAACGTCCACATGCTTCACCTACAGCTGAAACAACATGGCTAAATGGTGACGCCAGGATTTGCAAAGATACAGGAAATTAGGCGATACTTGCGCCATGCTCACATGCTACAGAAATTCTAAGTCTGAGCAGGTAATCTGAAAAGCTATTTGACCTGAGGGGTCAAAAGCCTACAGTTATATGTAACCTTTGACCAGTAATCCCATTTCTGTTAATTCAACATAAGGAAAAAAAAAATTACCTGCAAGCAAAGTATTATCTTACTAAACAGCTGAAAAACAAACTAGATATTCAATGGTAGGGGATTCATTGGTTTTATTATATCTCAGAATACTATGCAGCCTTCAAAACTATCCTAGATGCATACTAAATGACATGGAGATACGATACAATATATTAGTAAGAGAAAAATGGCAAGTCATTAGACTATATATCAAAAACTGATTTCTGAATATATATATATATGTGTGTGTGTGTTATTATAAAAAGATGAATTAATGCCATAGTGTTAACAGTAATTTTCTTTGGGCAGTAAGATTAAAGATTATATAATAAAATTTATAGGTGGCGCTGGGGATTTAGCTCAGTGGCACAGCGCCTGCCTGGCAACTGCAAGGTCGTGAGTTTGGTTACCGGTACCAAAAAAAAAAAAAAAAAAAAAAGTACAGGTAAAAAATTTATTGGTATATAAATTTAAATTTTCTATGATGAATGTGTATTACCTTTGTAAACTATTTTTTTAATTACAAATTTGAACTTGGTTTTTTTTTTTTTTTTTTGGTCCAGGAATCAAACTCAGGACTTTGCACTTGCCAGGCAGGTGCTCGTGCCGCTGAACTGTATCCCCGGCCCTGAAATTTTAAATAAATATATGCTATATTGAACATCCCATTGGTGGGGGTGAGCCTCACCTCCACCTCAAGGCAACTGACCTAGGGGACGCTAACTGATGATTATTAATCTATGGGATGATTACTAAAAGCTGAACTAGAGATCAATGTGTATCTTACACAGACTGACCCTCCCTGATACAGGTGAATGTGCCATTTGGTGAAAAAAGCAGAATGTACACGTGGCACAGTCCCTGTAAGGTGCGGCCTGGCAGGGCCTGGCAGTCTCTGGTCAGTGCTTGCCACCTTCCTCCTGTCACTCCCGGCGAGTAGGCACACCTGCTCTCGCTGCCCCCCCCGTCAGCCGGCGCCGGGCCCCCCCCCCCCCTGGGTCTAGGCACAGACTGGGCCTGGAAGTACCCTACTAAGGGCTGCAGCTGCCCGGAGGGAGGAAGGGTTTCTACTCTGCTCTCGGGCAGGTCCTCCACGGGGGACCCCAGGCTTGGGTGAGAGGTCGCGGGAGAAAGGACAAGCGCAGGAGGAGGGTGAGGCAGGACGATGACGCAGAAGACATAAAAGGGCCGCAAGCAGGGAGGCACGCTCCATCCAGACGCGCAGATGAGCTGGAGGGGGCAGGTCCCAGGGTTGGGCAACAGACCTGCACATCCTCCTTCCCACTCCGGTTCCGCCCCCCAAAGTGTCCAGGCCCATTGAAAGGAACCGGGTGTCCCCAGGGAGGGAACCAGAGCCTGGCCCAGCAGAAGGAGCCTGGGGTTAGCAGAGGAGGCCGGGCCCGCAGCACCGCAACCCCTGAGCGGCCTTGTCCCCGGCCTGCCCTGCAAGTTGGCCCCGTTGTGGGAAACAGTGGCTTTTCTGAGCACCCTGCCCGGCCCGGGTACACAAATGCCGCTCTCCTTGGGGAGTTCCCTGCCTCCGCCCACCAGCAGGGCAGCCTGAGGGCAGTGGGGTGGTTCCTGCACTCAGGGGTGGCGGGACCCTGGCTCACCTAGAGAGGCGTTGTAGAGATCCGAGCCAGAGGAGGAGGAGTTCCTGGAGAAGCTGGATGAGTGCTGCAGAAAAAGGCTCTCTCCATTTTGTCGGATTGGCGGCTGGGAGGGAAACATAGGGTCTCAGACACCCGCGCTGTTCAGGCTCCCTGCCTGTCTTGGGCTTGACCTCTAATGGGAATAGCTTGGAGGAGAGCAAGGGAGTAGGAGGCTCCCCACGTCCCCGCCCCTGGCCCTCCATTCCCGCGCCCCGCCGCCAGCGGGTTGCCTACCCGAAAGTGGCTGAAGTCGGCGTAGGTGGGGTCGTAGGTCTTGTGGTGGGCCTCGAGCAGGGTGCTGATGATGTGCTGCTGCTCCTCGGACAGCTTGGGCCGCAGGCTGTCCCTCAGGGCCTCCTCCTCCTTGCGCTTCAGGATCATCTCGCGCTTGCGCTGCACCTCTTCGTCGGTCAGGATGACTGCGGGTCGGGGAAGGGGAGTTGGGAGGGCCGGCATGCCTCGCCTCCAGGCACCTAACTCCAGCCAGGCCAGACTAGCAGGGCAGGCGCTGGCTGTCTTGCCCGTGGGGCGCCCTAGAGGCCCTGCTGCTAAGGGCCACTCCACACCCAGCTAGAGGAAAATAGGATTGAGAGGCCGGTGGCCTGACACTGGAGTCTGCATTCTCAAGAATAAGCTTCGGGGCCAGGTGTGATGGCAAACACCGTAACACTAGCTACTCAGGAGACCCAGGCGCGGGAAGCCCGAGTTTCAGCCCAGTTTGGTCAACTGAGCAAGACCCTGTCTCAAGACAAAATAAAAGGGCCTGGGCATGTAGACTGCTTGGCCAGCATGTGCGAGACCCTGGCTTCAATCCCCAGTACGACAAAAATAAACAAACAAGCTGCGGGACATGGGGCGAGCTATTCAAACTTTTCTGGGTGTTTGTTGTCTCATTAATCAAATGAGAAGTTTGGATCCTATCATCTCCTCTGAGGTATGCTTCTTGTTTCTCCCTCCATAAAATATTTGTGTGCATGTGTGCGCATGCATGCGCTGTGTGTGCGTGTGTGTGCGTGTGCGCGCGAGCAGAGCATGACAACCCCTCCTTCCTAGCACACTGTTGGGGGAGCTGGGTGGTGCCTGGCCCAGCGCAGACGCTCACTAAACCTTAGTCCTCTCCCTCCCCCTGGGCGCCACCAGCGTCCGTGATTCTGCCTGGACTTCAGGGAACAGCAGGAGTGGGGGCAGCTGTGTGTCACTGCGGTGCTGGAAGGTAGGGGGCGCAGTTTCCCAACATGGAACCCAGGTGTCTCTGGCCAGCACAGACGGACTTTGCCTCTGGTTCTCTGCACAACAACCCTCCTCTGGCCTGTCCGGTCTGGAAATTTCGGCTGCAGGAACGGAGCCCTCTCGGAGAGCCTGAAGCCCGACGCCTGCGGAGCTAACCTGGAATGCCTGCTCCCCGTCGCTACCCGGTGTCCCGTTATGGGACACCCTCTGCCACGTGGGCTTGCGCAGGGGCTTCTGCTGTGCTGCTCTGGGCAGCTGCCCGGGGCGGGGATGGTATGGGGAAGCCTGGCACGGCGGCCGGGCAAACAGACCTCCCGGCCAGGGTTCGCACAGTGCTGACGGGAGTGGGCACTGAGGCCCTCAGCCTGTAGCTACTTGCTCTGTGTTGGAGCTGCCAGGGCTTCTGCCCACAGCTGGGGCGTTTCACAAGAGCAGGGACACGAACCAGAACCCCAAAGTGGGTGGGCTCCAGGCTCTGAGAAAGGCGCTGGCGCAGCTCCCTTGGTGGGAGAAGGCCTGGAGAAGCGGGTGAAGAAGGGCCTACGGGGTGTGTGTGTGTGTGGGGGACAACTGGGCCCACAGGCATGGCGGCAAGGAGAAGCCCTGGCGAAGGCGGAGCGCTCCCTGAGCAGCTGAGGTAAGGCATACCAAGAGGAGGGCTGGGAGGAGGCCACGCCCATGGGGGTGACTCACCCTCCCAAAGAACTGCCAAGCCTCCTCCCACAGAGGGTGTCTGCTCAGACCCCAAGAGGTCAGGCAAGGTGGGGGAGACCTGGGAACACCGCAGGCCACGAAGGTGAAGGCCCCGACCTCGCAGGGGCCGGGTGAGGCATCGGGTCCTTTGCTTGTCAGAGGGGTGGAGGGCTAGGGAGCCCAGGCTCTGCCAGTCGCATCAAGGACGTCCACAGGCGGCGTGCTCAGCCGAGTGGGCTTCAGTGCCCTCCCGTGTTCTGTGACGTGACTCTCCTGCTTAGGCACTTTGGCCGGCCCCGTGCTGCTTACTGCGTCCAAGCCAAAGTCCAGGCTGCCCAGGCTTCGGCTCCTTCCTAACTTTCTAGTCTCACCTCCGCTCCTCTGGGCACAGCTCCTGCTCCAGGCTGGTTGGCACGGCTGGCTCGTGAGCATGGCCTGCTCACACTTGCCACTGCCTTTCTACCCGGGCCTGAGCGCTGGGGTGTCTCTCCTCGAGGGCTGTGAGCTCCATCCCGCCCTGGGTGCCCAGCTCACCACCTTCTGCCACAAAGCCTTTCTTGATCGCCTGAGCCGCGCCAAGCTCTTGTTTCCGGTGCCCGGTGCGTGCTCTCTCCCGCACACAGTGGCACCTGATTGCCTTCTAGTCCCCAAGACTTGCGGTTGGAACAGGTTTCGGTGAATGCTTACAGAGAGAACCTATGGAGTCCAAGACTGCCTTCGTCATACCGCAGAGCACTGAAGGGAGGGCCCTGCCTTCGAGTCTAAGCAGCTTGGGGCTGCCTGGCTATGGTGTTTGCTGGGTAGTCTGCGCCATAAACACAGCAAACAGCTCGCACCCAGTGTGCAAGCCATTTTCCTGGGTTCCGGGAAGGACAGTGAGGCGCACCCCAAGCCACCTGCACTCTGCCACGTCCCGTGTGACACACACAGCACGCCAGGCCACTGGGGAGCTGAGCAAAGTGTACTTCTTTCACCTAAGTAATTGTGACTGAAATACTTGCAAGACAGACTATCACCTAACGCAACACCCGGAACACCCCATGACCTTTTCTCCCTGAGCCAGAGGCACCGTCTGAATAATCACTGCACTTCGCGGGCCAGGTAAGAGCTCAGAGTCAAGCTTTGCAGTCCCTCCGCTACTTCTCCCAGTGTCCAGGCTCCGACCCTCTGGCGTGGCACACAAAGTCATCTCTTGCTGCTGGTGCCCGGCTCTGAAGTGTGCCTGCATCCTCTTAAGAGCGACCCCTGCTCTGTTAGGAGACAGAGGTCCTGGCGATCAAGCTTGGTGGAATAAAAAGATAATAACAATGGATAACATACGGTTTTTTAAAAAATGTACCAGACACACTTTTAAGTGCTCTTTATACATCAACTCACATCTGTTTTGTCCTTGTAATAACTTTTTAAGGCAGGAGCTATTATTATTCCCATTTTGCAGATGAGGAACTGAGGTCTGGAGAAGCTACACACTGTGCTCAAAGTCACATGGCTAATGAATGGTAGACCCGGCAGGCCGGTTCTGGAGTCAGTGGCTCCAACCACAGCCCCAACCTGCGTCGGATTAACAAGCTAGCTGTGACTGCGCCTGGGACTCTGGCTCTCAGCCACGGGACCTGACACCCAGGGTGTTCCAGTCCACCCGAGGAGTGTGAGAGCTGAATAAAGCAGCGAGACTTGTCAACGACTCACTCTAAGAAGACGAAGACGATGCAGAGTTAAACTTACAACACCCGTCTTCCTATCCCTTGCGTCCAGCACCATCCCCAAGCCCTGGGGGCCACTAGAGGGAAGCCGAAGGCCCCCCGGGCAGCACTGTGCATTGCTGGGGCGGGAAGCCTCCAGTCTCACGCACATGCAGATGCTGCTATGATTTTATGAGATAATTTGTGTAAAGGTGTTAATTTCACAGGAACTTTTCAATTACTTCTCAAATAACTGAGGTCTTGTAGGAAGACACACAGTTTGAAGTGAAAAGCCACTGACCTAGAATAAGCTAAGAGGATTTACTCTTTTGGTTTTTGAGTACTGGGGATTGAACCCAGCACCGAGCTTTTCTGGCCCTTTTTATTTTTTATTTTGAGACAGGGTCTCACTCAGTGTTTGAGGCGAGCCTCAAACTTTTGATCCTCCTGCCTCAGCCTCCCAAGTGGGTGGGATGACAGGTGCACATGATCCATTGCACCCATCAAGAGCTAAGGGTTTGATGTGCTTCCCACTGAAGGAAGTGTGTGAGCTTCGGTACCCAGAGACGGTGAAAGCTATTCACTGCTCAACAGCCTCCCCGGCTTCCTTCTAAGCTCCTTGCTAGGTGGGAAATGGTTTTGTCCAAGTTATTCCCATGCAAGACATGTTCCAGTCTAATGATGCCGAGAGTCACATTGGAGTGAAGATCTATAGACGTGAGCAACTTAAAAACATTTCACACGGGGTGTGGTGGTGCATGCCTGTAATCCCAGCACTAGGGAGGCTGAGGCAGGAGGATCGCTATGAGTTCGAGACCAGCCTGGGCTACAAAGTGAGCTCAAGGCCAGCCTGAACTGCATAGCGAGACCTTGTCTCAAAAAGACAAATAAATAAATAAATAAATAAATAAAAACATTTCACGATGCCAGTGGCAGCCAAGGGACAACCAGGAAGAGGACATAACATTTTTTTCCTAATGAATGACTTGGGCAGTATCAGGTTGGGATAGTCCTGCTGCTCTCCGTAGGCCAGTGACAACATGGAGACAGAAGCCCAGTGGGACGCTCATATTCACTCATTCACGGCGTATGTATGGAGCACCTCCTATGTGTCAGGTGCTGTGCTAAACTGGAGAGAAAAGACCTACATATGTAAAAACACTGAAGTTTACACAACAGGTGGTTCTGTGCAGGACGGTATAGAATAAGCAAGAGGCGAGAGCTCAGCCATGGGCTGTCTTGGGTTTGAAGACAGGCTCTTTGTGGGGACAGTCTTTAGCTCATTCCGTAGGGCCCCAGGCAGTGCCTAGAAATGTACAGTGGAGTGAGTCTGAGCCCTAGAGAGCTCCTGAGAGGGGACCCTGGGGTAGAGCCCACAGGCCTGGCCTTTGGAAGACAGACCTATGTGACAGTGAGCGCTGGCATCTTATTAGCCCTGAGGCCTCATGCTTCAATTCCTTCCCGCTCCCTTAGCTACTAAGAAAACCGAAGTATTTACAGATTTGAGACTGCTGTGAGAACTTAAGAAGAAAGTGCACATACTTGACACAGCGTCTGGCACACAGCAGGCGGTCAGCAGGTACTGCTCATCCCTGTCCCTTTCCCCCTGGGAACCCTGGGTGTTTAGATCCTTCCCCATAGCTTTACAAATGTTCAGACACTTGACCCTCTCGGGAGCCGTTAGGCCTTGGGGACAGGAGCCAGCACAGGGGACCCGTGGGCAGCATTCCAGGCCCAGACACACAAGACTGTGCTAATAACTCGGGCAGGAGCTGCCTCTCTTCCGGGACAGCCTGCCTCTGGGGCAGCAGAAAGCAGTGGCTTTGTGCTGGCCCCATGGTTTGTTCTAATGGGAGCTCTGGGCCCAGTGCCGCCCGCCCACAGCTCAGCACAGCTCCCTGTACCGCTCACGGGAGCAGGTGGGCAGGATGGGTCGGGGATTCCCCGGGAGTAGGGTCAGTCTGAGGCATCAAGCTGACTTCTGGACGATGGTGCCACCATGCAGTGTGGCACTCCTGGGGCAGGGGCCCCTGATTCAGCCCCTGGGGCCTGCTGGTGCCCCGTCACCGTGGATATCTTGCTCCTTATGGGACCCAGAGAAGCTAAGAGGGCGACAGGAGTTGAACTCTAGTCCCTGCTCGGCCACCAAGTTGTTCTCTGACCACAGTTCTGAGGTCTTCCTCTTCTGGGCCTCAAATGATCTCTGTTCGTCCTCTTCTTGGTTAACAGGACACCCCCCCCCAGACACAGGCCAGAGGCACCTGGGGTGTCAACAAGGGTGGCCCTGGTTCAGTGCTCACTGACCCAACTGTGGAGTCCCTGGTCATTCTCGGATGGCTGGAGCCTTAGAGGCCCAGGCTCCCCGCCTGGAGGGAGCCCCATGTGGAGCAGAAGCAGGGCAGACGGTGAGCTTGCCTCCTTTGTGCCCACCCAGTGCGGTCACAGAGCAGGCTCCCTGAGAACGTGTGCACAGCCCACAAGACACCCGGATTCTGGGCCTCGCCACTGTCGCTCTCCCCAGGATAAACACAGGAGCTGGGGCGGGGCAGAGCCTGGTGGAATCACTCGGCAGGTCCAGGCCTGCACGCTCCAGTGGGGGTGGGGAGGAGCAAGGGCCTGGGAACTCCGCCCAGGGCCGCTTCGCTGGCTGGGGAGCTGGGACCAGGGCCGAGGAGCCTCGGTCAAGGCCAAGAGGAGCCCACGGTGAGGGCCCTGCTCTGCCTGTGCTGCCCAGCAATCGTGATTTTTACTCCCATCAGGGAAGACGTTTCCCGTCCCCTAACACCTTTGCTGCGACTTTCTCCTGTCCCTGACACACCTGACGTCTGTCTTTCCCCTCTTTCCTAACACCGTCCCGTAGCAAGGGGGCTTCCCGGGGCCCGCCTCTGGGCCCCTCCCGAGACCCCTCAGGTTCACAGGTTGGCAGAGCAGGACCGTCCTAGAGCTGGGCTGCCTTCAGATGCACACTGCAGGCAGGGGTGCGGGTGGGGGCTGGGCAAGGGCGAGCTGTGGAGGGCTCCTTCAGGGGCCTGACCCAGCTCCCTTGCCCCTGCCCAGGGAGGGCTGGTGAGCCCCTTCCGGCGTCTGCTGGATTCAGTGGCTACCCTGGTCAGCAAATAGCTGTACTAGAGCTCAGATGCAAAAGTCAGAGCTTGTCTTTCCTGGTGGGTCAGAGAACCCCTGTAAATCTGCTAGGCTGCTCCTCTTCTCCAGACAGGGCCTGAGGGTCATCTAGAGCCCTGGTGCTTCCTCGCACAGGATCGCTCCCCCTGGTTTCCCCTGGGCACCAGCTCCCAGATCTGGAGTCTCGAGTATCACCCTTTCCGCCAGGAAGCACCTCCCGGGGAACAAATCTGGATGTTGGGGGAAGTCTGCGGCCTGGGGGCCATGAGGCAGGGCCCATCTCACCCTCCCTCCATGGAGCCCAAACTCCGAGGGGTCGTCCTCGAGTCTGAGGCACAAGCACAGGACAGGCTAACAGGGTTCCTAGGTGCATTTAACCCAGCAGCTCCGGCAGCCTTGCCCCGGGCTGCTGGCCCTACTCCTCCACTAGCCCCGGTGCAGGGTGTGCAGAGCCACAGAGGACGGACCCCTCTCTGGCGAGACGCGCGTATGGAGACCAAAGCCTCCCCGTGACCCCAGTCCGGCCCGCCTCGCTGCCCCTCCCGGTCACTCACACTCCTTCATCATGCCAATCTCCACGCAGCGTTTGAGCCGGCAGGCCTGGCAGTGGCGCCTGTTGTCTTTGGTGATGCGACAGTCTCCGTTGAAGGGACAGGTGAACAGCGCCTTCCGCTTCATGCTCCGCCTGCCGAGAGAGCGCACGCCCCGCGCTGGGTCACCGACTTCCGGCTCCTTAGCCCCGGTTTCCACCAGGTCCCAGGTCTCCACCTCTCCCCCGAGGATGCGGGCCCATTGCAGCCCCCGGGCCGCGCCCTGCCCCAGCCGTGTGCACCCTCCGCCCCTTCCTCCGTGAGGGCCTGCTTGGCTCCCGCCCTTGCTGTCACTCTCTTTTACAGTCCTCTGCCCCCTCCCTTTTTATAATTACATGGGAAACGTGCAAGTGAATTTTCCTCATAAAACTTTAAAAAACCTGAAATCTGCAGGGTAGTCCTCATGATGGTTTTTAATTAAAGGCAAACATGCTAGTCTCTGCTTTTAGTGCTCTAGAGCCCAGAGACGTGTGACTGGAATCCCTGTGACCCAAGGACGGACATCTGCACAGGCACACAGAGAAGGGGACACGGGCTCACAGCCCCAGCCGTCTCTGCGGACACCCGGACAGCCTGTCCAGAGAGAGAAGAGGCCCGGTGAGCAGTGGCAGCCCTGAGGCTGGACCCTGGCTTTCTGCCCAGATGACTGTAAACTGCACGGACTGTAAACACGCTCTAACTAAAAGATAAAACTGTAACAAGAGTTTTGGGGTAGGAAGAATGCCCCAGCTGCCCCATTCCGTGTAAAACTGTGTGTACGTGTGTGCACGCACAGCGCACATACTATACAAGTGCACACGCTTGCCCGCATATCTGAGCTGGATGGCTCATTTCCCCAGCTGCTCATTCTCTTGCACTGTGTTATGGACTCTATGCAGAAAGTGCATAAAGGAGGCTCCTTTATAGCTTCTCATTGTCCTTTCCTCGAGGCTCCTGGTGCTCCTCTCAGCCCCAGCGAGGTTAGGCCCCACTTTTCTCCCTGGGGCAGATGGCAAGAGTTAGCTGGGAAAGATGACAGACAGTGTAAGACTGTGGCAGAATCCCTGTGGCTTGAGTAGCAGCATCTTAGCCAAGGAGCTGCTAAGAGCGCAGCCGCCCAAGCCTCGGGGACGAAGGCCCCGCCCACTGCTTCTTCTTCCAGAGAGGAGCAAGTAAGCCACCCTACTTGGATGCGGATGTGAACTCAATTCCTGGTAAAAAGTCACTCAAGATCAGTGGGACACGCGTGGGGCTTGGGACAACAGGTGACAAGCTCAGAGGGGGGCCAGGGACCAGAGTGCGGCTCTGTATCTCCGCAGGCAGCCACACTCTTACACTCACAGCGGCCCCAAGGGGTGCTCAGTGTGAGCCCCGCGTCTCACAGAGACATGGGACTGAGGAGCTTCAGGAACTCATCACTCGGGCTGTTCAGCAAGCAGCAAAGGCCCTCGGGTCTGGAAGCCCTAGCAGTCCCAGGCTCAGCTCCAGATCCCCAGTACGTGGAGGCTGTAGGCAGACAGTCCCCGGCAGCTCAAAGCCAAGGGGGACCGAGTGCTGCAGCAAGGAGCCAGTGTTAGTTTTGGGCCTTGGTCTGGTGCCCTCCTGGGATGACCCTCATTACTCAAGGGGGCAGCAGCAGACGCGGAGGTGTGCGCAGGTAGAGCAGTGCCAGACCGGCAGGGGCGAGTCTAGCCCAGCCCCGGGAGAGACTGAGGGCAGCAGGGAGCTTTTCGCTTTCACGTCTGCACCTCTACTGCAGGGAAGTCCTTCCCAGAGAGACAGCAGAGTGTGAAAGCCCTCGGGAGCTGTCAGGGTTACCAGGAAGATGTTGTCGCTGGGCACCCCTCCCTGACGCCTTTCCCTCCTTCTCTGCGGCTCTCAAGCCTTCGCCTGCGACCACTCATGCCCACGGCTCTCCTCACCTGCTCAAGATCAGAAGTTCCTAATTCAGAGCAAACTCACATTTCTTTTTCCTTTTTTTTTAATAAACAGGCATCTTGCCCACATCTGAGGGGCTGCTCTGTCCTCAGAGCCACCCACTGTCTTGTCTGGCTCTGACTTTTCCTGTGAAGTGTCCAGGCTATGACACCAAGAGGGACACAGCCAGGGACACTAGCCAAACCTTCCGCCAGTCCCTGCTGGGGCCGAGAGCTTCCGGGGACTCCAGGAGGAGGTCCAAGGCCTTCAGGGGCCCACCTGTGTTTCCTGGGGCTTTAGGGGCCCTGCCTTGGATCCTCACGGCAGAGAGAAAGTCCTCCAACCATAAGGTTGCCAGGAACAATATTTTCGTGCTTTGCTATCTTTTATTTGTTTGCTAAATCTTTTATTTGTTTTCTAAATCTTTCTCATGTTTTAACTCTGAAGCCAACTTTCAGGCTTCCACACACCAAATGTCAGAAGGAGCCACTCCGCCCAGCTTCACCTGAGAGCAGGAAGGAGTCCTTAATGAGGCCAGGGGCCAGAAGACTAGACATGCCGAGGTGGAGTGAAAGAAAATACTCAGGGGAACACCCCAGTTTTCTGCTTCTCATTTACAAGTAGTAGTACGAAGCCCAAGAGTATCACAAAGGAGAGGAGGACAGTGAGATGGAGAAGGAGGAGAATATTAAGCCTGGAGCTCTTTCTGGAGCCGGGGACGACAGCGCACGGCAGGCACCGGAGCTGAGGAAGACTGCAACCTGTGCCCTTGGCCTTCGCACGCCTCGCCCCGCAGCCCCCGGCCCTGCCGTGTGTCTTCACAGTACTGGAGCAACGTGAAAGCAGCCTGTAAACTATGGAGCGTTAAATCTCTACACTTTAAAATACAGCAGCCAACTCTTCTCTACTACTCTCCAAACATTACCAGAGCAAAAGAGAGGGTGGTTGGGAAGATGGAGGCCGGACGCCCTGCTCTGAGCGTGGGGTCAGTGATCCGGGCACGGAGCGCTCCTCGCTGGCTCCAGCAGCCAGTCCCACCTTCTTCCCGGAACCAGACCCCGTCCCCTGGGCTGGCCTGCCGGTGTTCGTGGTGCGGTAAGAACGTTTGCTGGGCTGCAGTCGGTCCTGTGGCTCGCAGGCACATTCATTTCCGTCCTGCTGCCTGCGGAGGCTACTTCCATGCGCGTGGCTGTCATCTAGTCTCTGCCCACAAGGAGTCAGGGCAGCCGGACCGCTCAGCCCAGGCTCAGGGTTTGGCCCTGAAGATCCACACCCGACCCCACTTTCCTCCCAGCGCTAATTGCCACCGAGCGGGTTTGGTTTTGAGAAACGAGAGCCTTGGGATTCCACAGGAGCACAATGTCTCTGCTGCTCGCTGAGCCTCAACCCTGTCATCCTCTGGATGGCTGGCAGTTATATCCCAGCTCAGGAAGGGGCACAGGGTTCGGCAACCAGCTAAATATAGACATAGTTTCTAGAAAGCCGGGGTGAGAGAGGACACTGGCAATTCTCGCGCCAGGAACCAATTCATCAAAACATGAAAGAGACAAGACGCTCACGAGCGCTGTGGGCTGGGGCCTCAGGCACGGACAGGGAGGCCCCCGCCCAACTGCGTGGCTGCTGCCGCAGAGTGGGGGTCAAGTGCGCCCTGTGGGTCTGCCTGTTGCTGAATGTCACTGAGACGCTGGTGGGAGTGGGTGTGGTGAGAAATCACCCTTTGGCAGATACTGGAGAGAGATCGTCTCCGTTGCTGTCAAACACACTTTGAGGGTAGGGTTCCTACTTCACAAGGGACACAAGAAGGTACAGGGAAGTTAAACAGCTCACTCAATGTCCCTCCCACAGCTAACAGGTGTGAAAATTGGGGTCACAATCAAGCTGTGCTTGACTCCAAAGCTTTTGCTCTTTTTAATACTAAGGTCTTCACAAGAATCTGCCATTTCTCAATCAGAACCAGGGCAGCAATCAAAAGCGTGCTCCCTACAGCCAGGAGCAGGACGCAGAGGCCGTGTAAGGGCTCTTCCGGGGCAAAGAAGCCACTGGGGTACAGGCGGTCCCTAGATGGATGCTTGGAAGTGTGAAGTAATATATGGCCGCCTGCTCCACTATGTGGTCTAAGTATCCCCAGGATACACCGAGAGTGATTCTGTGTAAACGAGCCCGGATTAGAAAGCTAAATTCCTAAAGAAATAAAACAACGAACAAAAGGAAATGTAAAATATTTTTCGTCTCTTTGCAACTGCCTTTCTGGCAACTCCTGTGATCTTCCTTTCCCAGTAAGTGCTGTGGCCTCCTCTCCTCAAGCTCTCACATGTTGCGTGAGACCATCCACAGAGAAGGACACTTATCCTCACTCCTCAACATCCTTGAGCACCTACGGAGGGAACCTGGCTAACCTGGACAAAGTTCTCTCCAGACACCACCTGTGTCCGCGGGAGGCCCTACGCGTCTGCTGCTCCCACCTTTCCTATTGACTCACCTGTCTTTCAGCACATAGACTTTTAGTTCCCTGGCCATTTGCTCCATTTCTCTGCTGCCTTTCACCCCAAAATTCTTAGAAGAGCCACAAATGTCAGCTGGTCGACCTTCCGGAAAGCCAGAACATTCCTCGTGTTTCTGAATCCTCACCAGCCTGCCTTTTACCCCCTGTACTGCTGAAGGCCCATAATTAACAAGGTCCCTGAGGACCTTGGGGCCTAGCAAAGGAAAGCACATTTCTGTCTTTGTTATCTTGAAGCTTGTACTGCACAGCCTCACAATGTCATGACTAAGAAGGTATCAACAGGAGGGAAGAAAATAGAAGCAATGAGCTAGCTGTTGCTCAGCCCACCTTCCAGGACCATCTCTTAGGTTTCACCACTAAACCTTAACGTGTGCTTTCTTTTTGCAGACCTGGGGATTAAACCCAGGGTCTTCACACCAAACCGCATCTTTGGCCTTTGTTATTTTTTAATTTTGAGACAGGATCTCACCAAGTCACTAAGTTGCCCAGGCTGGCCTCAAACTTGTGATCTTCCTGCCTCAGTCTTTCAGAGTGCTGGGATTATAAGCATGCACTTTCCCTTTATATCGACATGTAGACAAACCCATCCATGATTAGAGATTCATCCATATCTTCCTATCTTTCTATCTATCTATCTATCTTTTAGTATATCCACCCTCCCAATCCCTGACCCTTAATTATGCTCTGATTAACACATAGGCAAGAAGCTCTGACCGTCTACAAGCCCACCTGTACAGATCTTTTATTCACACTGGATATATCATCTTCTTAGACCATGTGTTTGTGCCTCAGGAGAGCAGGAAGTTGAGATAACATGAAAGAGCCTGAAGAAGGAGCTGAAGGGCAATGGCCTCCAATTCCTGAACGCAGGTCAGGAGAACTGGGCTCCAACCTTCACATTCACGCTCTGGCTCGGTCACAAGTCTTGGACTTGCCAGTAGGCCACAGCTAGCCAGTGCAGCACTTTTGTTTGACTGTCAGGAGCCAAAGCAAACATTAAATGACCAGTCTCCCGGGCTTGGAAAAAGGCCAGTGACCTCACACTAAAGCAATACTGTCTGTGAGAGCTGGCACGATGGGGTTGAGGGAGCTCTTTAAGGGCACGGACTTGGGCACATTCATCTCTAGGTTTGCCTGACACAGAGAAGACACCAGCCACTTCCTGGGATCAGAACTGCACAAACAAATATTCGTGATAACAAAATTCTTAAGCAACTATTTGTACTGGAATACAGTGAAAAATTTTAAATAGAATTTGGATGAAACAAAAGAAGAGTAACAGGGGGTGGGCAAAAAAGGAGAAGAGAAATGATGGAGACTTGTTGATCACAGCAGTTGTGATCTATAAAGTCCCTGTGCACCCCCGGTGAGTGAATGCGCTCCTGCAGAAAACGCGGGGCTAGGGGCCTGTGGCCTCTGGCAACAACATTTTCATCAGCCGATGCACCCACAACCTTGGCACGTACACATTTTCTTCTATAGACACCTTGTTTAATACACATCTGCAATATAGTTTGTTGATTTATTAATACTGAACCAACAGCTCATGTCTGAATGAAGCTTATCTAGTGCATGTGCTTCTCCATAGTGGCTTCTCCACCACAGCTTTCTTGTGTGTAAGAACACCACACAGCGAGTTGGCACTATGCTTGGCCCCATTTTCAATAGCGAAATCACCAGCGAAAGTCACAGAAGTACGAAAAACGTAGCACAGTGCGGCTTGTTAAAAGGATGCTTGTTATCGCGAGAGCTGACGTGGGAGGCGGAGCTACCGCCTAGTGCAGCTTCTACAGACAGCGCGGGCTCTGCTGGGATACGCCCATCCGGACTTGCCGGTGGGGAGACGCCCATTGGGAGATGGCTCTGCACAGAGTCATAAAACGACCACGAAAGTGCTACAAGGATTTATTTTGGAAATGAATTAACAAATAAATTTTAGAAAGTTGGTAAATTTGCAAATATAGACACCCCAAATAATGAGGATGGACTATAGGTATGTGTATATTTACCTAATTTTATTTATAGACAAACAAAATTCAAGCCAAACCACAAAAATGTTGGCTCTTTTAGAAAGTACAGCCTAGTTCGGTCACCTGGACAAGGAGAGTGATTAGAAAAGCTAGATGTGAGTTGCAATCAAACAAAATGGTGAATGTCTAGATTAAAAGTTTATTACGGTAGCCAGGAGGCTGCAGCAAGAGGATTGCTGCAAGTTAAAGGCCAGCCTGGGCTACATAGTGAGCTCAAGGGCAGCCTGAACTATATCACAAGACTTTGTGTCAACAAAACAAAACAAAAAACTCTAAAAAACAAACAAAAAAAAGGTTTATTACAATAAATGATGCACTGCCATTAATTTCACTCAAAATATGCTCCCTTGCTTCAAACACATGTATCCCATCATCCTTGCAGTTTTCTGCACCATTTCTAGAAGCTCTCTTTTACAAGTGTCTTTAAAAATTTCACAGAGTTCCTCAGTGTTTTGAATCCATCAAAACATTCACCTTTCATAGCCATTTGCACTTTGGGGAAGGGTCAGAAGTCACATGGTGCCAAAAGACCCAGTTCTTAAGGTGGATGAGGAAACATCAAAATGTTTCGAAGAGCCTGCCTCTCCATTGGATGGCACTCTGCAGCACAGTCACTGCATTTTTGATTAGACCTTGTAAAGACACTCACGAAAGAAGACTTCCAGCACTGCTTCAGAAAGTGATAAGAGGGCTGGGGATTTAGCTCAGTGGCAAAGCGCCTGCCTGGCAAGCGTGAGTTCGGTTCCCGGTACCGGAGAAAAACAAAAAAAAAAAAAAAAAAAGAAAGAAAAGAAAGTGATAAGAATGATGGGATCTGTGTGTTGAAATTAAGGGCAACTATTTTGAGAAGGACTCACAGCAATGTGTCTTTTACTATAATGAATAAAAAAAAGATGTTCACTGTAGTTTTTGATATTTGTAGAAGGGTAACAAGACAACAGACCATTCAAGCGTGATGGTGGCCAGCAGCCAACAACTGACTCTAAGGGGCCCGGCTGAGAAGGGCTAGGGGTGCGAACAGCACTATCACGTGCTCAGAAGCAGCACTGCTGCACTGTGGGTCTGCAGTGACACACGTGCAAATGTGCCATCACCGTCCACTCTGCCTGCTCTAGCACTCAGCCTGGGCGCGACAGGACCTGTCCTCCCTCTGCTCAAATGCCTCCACAGTCCTGTCCAGAACATCATGTGCCTAGTGGTTTGTCGGAGGGCGGCAACTGCAGGTGCATAGGAGCTCATGCTGCTCCAGGGAGAGACAAGTTTCAGTATCAGTGTCGGCCTATCAGGCTCAAAAATAACACTCTTACATTGTACTTTATGCTTTTCAAAGCCTTTTTATACATGGCACTTCATTAATCCTCAGACTGCCTATGTACAGAAGATGCTATACACACGGGTAATTAGTTAACCAGAACACGGGGACGTCAAGGAATTTGGGCAACAACATATAATTAATTAATGGCATGGCTAGTACCAGCCTACGTGCTTCTGACGGGTTTTATGATGGGAAGCAGGCCCCGATGTGCATGCCCAGATGCCTCCATTATCTCGCTGAAGGCAGCGCCTCACTCCCAGGCCCCCGCAGGAAAGGATCCAGGTGGCACCCAGACCCTGGAAGGCCCACCCTACAGGAAGTGTGGGCTTCAGTCCTGAGGATTGACAGATGCGGCAACAGGACCTAGAGGCAGCGATGCTGCTGGTCTGGTTCCTCCAGGTGGGGAGTAGCCTTCTGGGAAGCCAAGCAGGCAGACTGCGCCAGGCTAAACAGGCAATTAGCGCCCACAGCAACTCCACTGCCCAGCAACTGCTCAAGGCCTCAGAACCCTGGGCCTGCGGCTCCCGGGCAGAGGGCAGGTGAGTCGGGAGCCCTGGGTTGGAGTAAGTCCCATGAGGGCTTGCACTTAGAGTCCCTCTGCCCTCTGGGCCAGGCAAGTTCATCAGTTCAGACAGGAGCCAGCTGAGCCCAGCGTCTTAATTCTGGTCTGGATTTACTCCTGCTGGTCCTGGTGGTTAGAGCCCCGTCCCCTCTTCTCCCACCTCCAGTCCAGGCCTTGCTACTATTTGCTGGCTGCTACCTTCCGGGCCACCCACTCTCTCCAGCACAGGGCCAGTTGCCAGTTTCCCCTGAACTCCCTTTCTCTTCTCACTCAGACCTGCTTCTGTCTCCCTCCCCAGCTCTGGACGGGCACAGCCCTTGGCCTTTCCAGCACTTTGAACGGTTTGCTCTTGGAATCCTGGATTCCTGAGAGAAAAGCAGAGCTGCTGGAGGAAACACCAGCTGTGACTGACAGGACAAGAGTGTGTGTACCTTCTCAGCGCTCCTGGGCATCTACAGTTGGGATTCAGAACTGGGGCACAAGCTGGCCCCATGTGAAGAGTCGGGCACAGACCTGGAACGGTGGCCTCTCCAGGGGTACAGCCTCCCCGTTCCAAGGAGCAGTCTGGGCCAGATGGGAAGGCAAGCCTAGAACCCAGAACTCCAGGGCTCTCCCCAAGACGGCCTGACCAGACCGCAGGACAGATGCTCCCGTCACCATCAGTGACGAGGCCCGCTCAGAAGTGTGGAGTGGGTCTGTGCAGGGAGCTGGCGTTAGGGCTAATGAAAGACACTCAACCACTCCAGGAACGTGACTTCTGAGGGCCAAGGGCACAGCTGGGCCGAGAGGGGGGGGAACAAGAAACCCTTCAGCCCGACCCCACTGTCCCAGTGGGTGCGAGACGGACAGGTCCCGAGGCTGTGGGCAGGAGGGGGCCGTGGAACGCACAGGGCCCTTTCTCAGGCATAGCCTTGCTCTTGCTCCTCTTCTGCCTTCGGGGGAGCCTGGCAGGAGACCTACCTGAAGAAGCCTTTGCAGCCCTCGCAGGTCATAGCGTTGAAGTGGAAGCCCGTGGCTCGGTCCCCACACACCCCGCAGATCCGGGGCACGTTGCGGTCAAAGTCGCCAGGGTCAGGCAGGGAAGTGCTGGCCGCCATCGCCTCCATCCCTGGAAGAACATCAGAGGCCACAGTCACGGCCAGAGGCAGTGCCGGGGCCAGCTGGCATCCCTTGTATCACCACCCACCACCATGCTGGAGAGCCTGGTGCAGCCGCACGGCTCCGCAGAGCCCAGGCCAGACCCTGCACGGCCTGGCTTTCCCCGCCCGGATGGCGCAGCACAGAGCAAGGCTGCGGTCTAAGTGCCTGGGCTCAGACGCTGCATTTCCAGGGCTCCTGGGGCAGGGCATCCCACCTCTGTGTGCCCTCCCTGTCCTCATCTGAAAGCCGTTCACTCCATGGGGTGTGCAGTGAAGGGTGATCTTAATGTCACCTTACCTGCCCACCTCCGTGACAGGTCGCAGGGTCACAAGTTCCTATCTGGCCTGTTGTGCCCTCCGAGAGAAAACTAGGGCATCTTCTACTGCGCAGACCCACGTGCTGTCACTCCAGGTCCTGCTCCTTGAAGCCGCACGGCTCAGGACGGACTAACGGCCTAGTGTCCTCGGCACCTTGGCACCAAGTCACTCCCCCTCACTTTTTTGCCATCACCTTTGACATTATTTTGAACATCCTTTGGAGCAGTATGAGTCATGTACAATTAACTAATTCTGTTTTCAGAGACAGTGTTTATAAATGGGCTTATCGTCTAGAGGCGGATGTCACGCTTGCGGGGAAGGGAGGGCAGGGACACACTGCAACTGCTCAGGGAAGCCCTGCTCAGGAGGCGGCCGACTCCACTCTTCCATTAGGCAAATTGGCCTGGACTTTCCCTGCGGCCTCTGCTTCAACCACTACCTCAGGCCCAGAGCCAACGGTGGGACCCCTCAGGCCTCCCCAAAGTGCTTTCAGACCCCGCTGCTCCCGGGGCTCCACATATCGTAACCCTCGCAAGAGTCACTGTGGATTTCAGTGGCCTCTCTGACCCAAGGCAGAGAGTCACTCAGGTCAGGAGAAATGAGAGAAGAAGCCAGGACACGGGTGAAGCACCTGCCCTCACTCTCAGCCCAGGGCCCCACTTCCTCCCGCCCCTTGGGGAGAGAGCTGGACCGTGGGCACCCTTGGGAGGGGCTGGGCAGCCCGCGATCGCTGAGCCAAGGTCTGGGATGTTAGAGCTCGTCAGAGTCTGAGTCCATGGTGTCGTCACACACCCCTCAGCAGTGAGGCCAGAGCACCAGACCTTGGGGCATCTCTAGCAACTGCTATTGCCAAACGCACAAATACTTAATTTAAAACCGTGTTTACGAAGCGCCTAGTGCAAAAAAAGGCAACGGGGCAGACAGGCAAAGATATGGCACTGTCAATTCCAAAGGCACGGAGGGAACCGTAGCCAGGCAGACACGGATCCCCTAACAGTCGAGTATTTCTTTTTCTGAAAATTTAATGTAACAAGGGTGACATTAGTGCCTTTCACTGCTAAGTTTACACTTGCTATACTTGTTAAGGCCGGGGAGAACCAGGCATGGTGGCACATGCATATAACCCTGAGTTTTTGAAAGAGCAGTAAAAAGGGCAGTTGTGTGCTTTCCTAGCATTTGTAAGACCCTGGTCATCCTAAGTACTGCAAAATAACAAGAACAGTGATGACCAGAAACCTCGGAGGAGGTGAAGTTAGGGTGGGTATTCAGAAGCATTGTATAGTAGCAATATTCCATTTCTTTGTGGGGCAGGTCTATGACAGCTTATTAAAGTACATCTATGTTTTATGTGCCCTTCTATACATATATGAGATTCTTAATTTAAAACAAATTAAAAATAAAAGAAAAAGTGCTTCTGCATCTGTCAACACCAAGCCTATAGACGAGCCCAAGTCTAAACTAACTCCTCCAGATTACTAGGACACAGAAGGCGTCCAAGACGTGGGCAGTGACTCCAGAGCCCAACATCGCTGTAGGACAGTGGGAGGAGCGAGCGTGCTTGCCGCCTGACCCGGGCTGACTGAGCTGTCAGAACGCGGAGTTATCGAGATGTTGCCGCGCTGTCTGGATGCAGAGGCCCCCCAGCTTCCCGTGGGTTCGGTGAGCACAAATGTGGGGGAGGAGGACTATCAGCCCATCAGTTTAACAAGGGCTAAGCCTCACACGGCCTCATTTGGGGATGGTACGATGCAGAAGAATTAGAACAACACAGGTCACAGAATGGCAAAGTGCGGTCCGCCGTGGATGTCAGGAAGTCTCCTCCCTGGGGACAAGGGCCAGACACTGGGCTGGACAGAAAGGTAGGTCCAGCAGCCAGAGGCCCACGGTGGGCAGGCTCGTTGCAGGGGAGCTGAGAGGAGGAGACCCTCCCCTGCTTGGGGTTATTCGCTGACACTGACAGTGAGCTCCCAGAGCCAGAAGCAGCAGCGTGGAGAAGAGGCCCGGGCTCTGCAGCTGAGTGCTGGAAATCCCGGAGAGACAGGCAGGGACTGCGGAGGCAGCAGAGGGAGGACCTAGAGCTGGGCGGGCTTCAGGGTCCTCTCCTGCAGCCAGCAAGCCCCGCCTGCTGGAGCCCCCTGAACTCCTGCCCCACCCTGGATGCCTGGGGGTCCAGCTGCAGATTCTTCTGGCAGGAGACTCACACACCCAAGGGCCCAGGTAGCACTCCCTTCCTCCCTCTACCTACCACTTTCCTATGACCCGTCCCTGCCCCTCAGAAACAGAAAACAAGCCGGGGGGGTCGTGGCTGGTGCAGAAGCACCCACCTGAGGAGCAGGGGCCAGGTACGACGAGGCCGGAAGTGCTCTTCTCTGAGGTCATGGACGCGTCCAACCACAAGGACTCTGAAATGAGCACAGGGAGATGCGTTATTTAAAGCACCGCACCAACCTTGCCAGTCTTCTGAGGAGCCCAGCAAGTGTGTAAAAAGCCCTTTCCAGGGACTTTAGTCCCCGAACCCAGGCCTGAAAACTTGACTGATTGGGAACAGGCAAGCCATGTCGTCCACGGCAGTCGCCAGCACGGCCATGCTGAGACAAGCAGTGCACACAGAACTGGGCACGTGGAAAGAGCCTCCTTCTGTGGACAGTCCTCTTCCTCTCACAGCCAGAGACCTGCCCCTCCCACGGCTCTTTGCCCAGATTTTGGGGGTGCTCTGGGAAGAGCCATGGGGTGGCCTAGGAGCCCAGGCTCTGGCCTCCGTGTCTGGGATCTCCTGTTTGCAGAGATAGGAGTGGGTGGGGCCGGTGCTGCAGGGGTTAATACAGGAAGGCGGGGCTTTGCAACAGGATGTTTCCTGCCACTTTTAGCTCTTTTCCAGACGTGTTCCACACCCCCGGCCTCAGGGAAGGCTGGTGTAGGGCTGATCCTGTGCCCAGGTTCTGGGTCTTTGGGGCATGACGGGTCACCAAGGTGGGGCTGGCAGAATTTCAGCCTTCACACTCACAAGACAGACGAACACACACACACGCACGCGCACACACGTGTGCACACTGGCTGCCCTTCCCTGATGCCCAAGGAGGTGACTGGGGAAATACATAGCTATGCAGGCGCCCGAGTCCACATCTGCCCAAGGCCAAACACCAGGTGAGGAAGGGGTGGTCCTTCAGCTTTTGCTTCTCTTCAGAGCCCCCTCTCCCTGAGGGGTCTGGCTAGGCAGAGAAGGGGGACCCTAAGGGGCTTCCAAGACCTGGACCCGGTGCTAGAACTGCCAGCCACTGAACCTGTTCGCCACCGGTCCGGTGACGCCAGCCCTGGGGAACAAGCAAGGAAACCCGGTGGACAAGGAGCGGAGCGGATCCCAGGGAGGCGGCCCTGCAGGGGACAAGGTGCCGCTCCCCCCAGCCAGGCTCTGCTGTGCTCCCACCCCCTAGATGACCACACCCTTCTTGGTTCTACTCAGGCCTCGTGGGTTTCTTAGGCTCTCGTCCTACTCCTCGGGAAGGCTGAGGCAAAGGCAAAATGGGTACAGAACATCGACACTCTCCATCCTCATCTCCTAAGGCTTTGCAAGGTTAGAGGTGACATCTAGGTAGACCGCTACCCTTGAATTAAAAAAAAAGGCTACATGTATCTACTGTGTGCCAGGCCTGATTACTGCTACATGATTTATTCCAGTTAATTCTCACCTCAGTTCTGTGAGCTGTGGAGCAGACCTGCTTCACAGACGCCCAAACCAAAGCTCAGAGCAGTCTGGCCTGCCCAGGGCCCCATGGCCAGGGAAGGAGGAGGACAGGCTGACTGCAGCACCCCACTGCTGTGTTTGCTCCTTGCTAACTCCTCCCGTTCCCGCCGACAGCCGTCAGAGCAGACGTATTCCCCTGTGCTAGGTCCTGCTCCGAGCTCTTCCTGTAACCCTCACCACAGCCCTGCTGGTGGGCACAGTTATATCTATCTTGGGAATGAGAAACAGGCCCAGGGAAATTGATCGCCCGTGGAGCCAGGATTTGGGTCAAGGCAGTGAGCTGAGTCTCCCTGTACATCTCCCTAGAGACATATTTCAGCCATTTCCCTACCCTAAGTCCTGGACACCCTTTAGTTCCATGAAGCCACGCAGGAAAGCAGGGAGCAATCCCCGGGCGTGAGGGGAGAACAAACACCGTGCCCCTTTTCCTCCCAAGGGCGCCATGGCCTGGGGATGGCGGCCTCAGCCGGGACGCGCTGTCAGCTAGGCAGCTCCATGTCTGAGGAACATGTCTGAGGAAAGTCCACTCAACAGAGGGCCCACTCCTCCGACTCGATTTTTCACTACTGGATGAGCCTTTAGGAGAAATTACTCTATAGTTGGCCTCTGGTACACGTGCCAGGTGGTAGGAAGTGGGGAAAAATACAGGATGAGAAAGAGGACAAGTGGGGAAACACCGTCCCCACCCACACATCATACATCCTCCACACCCGTCTGAATGTGTTCTGAATACCTAGGACTTGCCACTGCTTTCGTTGGGGCTGTCCCCAGAGCCACCCTGTGCTGGGGATACTGCAGCCCCAGTACCGGGAGTCGAAGAAGCAGAGGGGAGGAGCCAGCTCTGTAGAAAGCCCTGGTTTCCACTCCTCCGGGGCCTGCATCACGCATCAAAGCCCTGCTTGACCTCGACCCCAGTCCCAGCCTCCCTCATTGAGAAGCAAGATCACCCCAAGATCCTTGCAGTCACTGAAACCACAGCCACAGCCTCTCCAAAGTCTCCCAGCAGCTCACACAGCAGGCGCCCCACCTGCCGGCAGCTTCCGTTAAACCAGCATCCTTGCGGAGAGCCTCCCCGGGATAGTCTTGTGGGGTTTCCTGGGCAGATTTCTGGAAAGACAAGGATCAAAGTCCTTGTGCCCCTTTGGGCTGTTTGTCTCTCCCACCCTGACCGAATGCTCCTCAGAAAGCTGAGGTTCTAGGGCTGTAACCCGAGAGGACCCAGAGGTGGGCGATAGGCTGACCATTAAAGTTTTTCCCAGCTCCCAAAGCATGCAACTCCAAGACCAGAATTCCCATCACAGCGAGACCTTCAATGAAATTCACTTTTCAGATGAGCCCCGACGTGGACTCCAGTGGTGGGCACCCACCAGAAGGGTCCTCGGTCAGTTTGGGGCCGGAGTGATTAAAACTGGCCTTTCTAAGTACTGGTATTCACTCAGCGCTCCCACTCCTTCTAGAAAGAAATGGAACGTGAAGCAATTTCCTTGCTGAGAAGAAAATTCTTTCTTTTTTCTTTTTTTTTTTTTGGTTTTTCTCGGAACCGGGAACCGAACTCACGACCTTGCACTTGCCAGGCAGGCGCTTTTGCCGCTAAGCTAAATCCCCAGCCCCAAGAAAATTCTTTCAAAACTGGCACACACAGAGTGAGCTACACAGTGGTTCCCTGGAACAAGGCCTGTGCACCCCCCAGCCACAGCCACCACGAACTTGGGTGCACATGCCCTTTTCTCGCTGTTTTTTATCTCATCATCCTTTTGACTGCCCAGGGAGCAGTGAGCACTGTAAATGTGCTGAACTGCGCATTTGCCGTCTCCTTCCTCTAGCACAGGATAGGCGGTGTGATGCCACGGCCGGCTCAGACGACACTCCTGCCTTGTGCACCCTCCCCACCGTACACCCACTTTCTCGTCCCGAGCGATCAATCCCAGCATCACCTTCTAGATGCTGGGAGAGGACACTGAAAACGAGGAAAAGTGTGTGTGTGTGTGTGTGGGGGGGGCTAACGGTTATCAACAGACCTACTCCACGCTACTTCTGCCCGCTGTCTCCTCCGCTCCTCTATACATGCATTTTTTAAAACATGGGTAAGAATGGTTAGCAATTATTTTCTACTGACTACAATGTCCAAAGTAAAACCCAGTAGATACAAGTCATCTCAGCAAATCTCAAACCAAAAGGTAATTTAGCATCACCAAGTCCACTAATCCCAAATCTCACCCAGAATATTCTAGCCAAATCGTTTTCTAGCTTTTGCTTGAATATATGTTTCTTGGTGGAGAAATAGCTCCCACGACAATCCACTCTTTTGGAATGGCTCCATGCTTGGCAAGTTCTTCATTATGCACGGATGAAATGGTCCCTGTAGTTCTGTCAGTTGCCATCCTAGGCCAGCATTTGTACCCACAGAAGATAAACCTATGAAGCCATGTACATAGGGTCTCCAGAGGAGGGCTTGGATGGGCCACCACATGTGTCACTATGCAAATTTAAAAAGGGGCCCATTCATTCCTCAAAACATTGTACTTCTATCAATTCTAAAACTGCCACACAAACGTAAAAATCTACAATGTTTACATGGTGAGTGGGAGAGCAGGGGAGAAGCAGAGAAAGGAAGGGAGCCTGGGCTATATTTAATGTGATTGAGAGCCCGTAAACCTCTCTGAAAGAGTGGGAGGGAAGGTGGTGCACGCCGATGCGCCCGCCCTGTGGCCTTCACCTGGAGAGGACAGCTCCTGGGCAGGGAGAGGCACTCGGGTGGTGAGCGAGAGGCTGCCGGTGCTCCTCCCAAGGCTGCCCGCGCCTCTCTCTGCAGCTCCGTGGTTTCCGGGCAGGTGGCCTCCAGCACAGCACCGCTAAGCGTTTATCAGGTTGGCCGAACAAGGTTAACGACCACAGTGAGAGGCTGGTGGCCCAGCAGTGGCAGGAAGGAGGTTACCCCTGAGTGCTTTAACACCTTGGGAATATAGATCATCTCTGAGAACCTGTGAAAGTCAGGGACAGCCTGGACAGTGTCAAGGGCTAGAGGGTAACTGCACAGAAACCAGGCCACAGACTCGTTCACTGGCTGTTCCGTCTCTCCTCAGGCGCAGGCGCAGCCAGGCCCATGCCCTGGGTTATCAGTGGGGGGTGGACACTCCCCAGGTGTTCACGAAGCTTCTCAGGTCTAAGGCCAAGTTGCAGCTGAGCAGAACGCAGGAGTGGGAGGCCCCAGGCAGTGCGGCAGGAGACACATGGTTCACTTAGATTGGTATCCACTCCTTATCGACAATTATTCCTGCAAGCTGCTTTTTTTCCAGTGGAAAATCTGCCCTCAGCTTTGTCAACAAGATTTCTGGGCTGATTACTGTTCTCCAGGTAACAGGCGGCCTGTGCCTTGTCACTGCTGGAAAGCCAGGGCGGCCGCGGTGGCCAGTAAAACGTAGGGAACCAGCTGAGTTGTAAAACCCATCTCTCTGGGCTTACAGCTGAGGAAATGGAGGCAGCCAGAGGGAAAGTGGCTCATCCAAGGCCACAAAACAAGGGAAAGGGCTTCCCCGCCTGCACCCCGCTCAAGTCCTGAAAGAGCCAACTACCCCCTAAGCAGCTCCCAGAGAGCTAACGTGGAGGAGAAAGGAGTCGTGTAGGTATGTGTATGTTTCCTCCCTTGGAAGGGGAGAGCTG